GCCTGCAGCAGCTGTTCAAGGGCTTCGATGCGGACGGCAGCGGCACCATCACTGTGCAGGAAATGAAGGTCGCACTTGCAAAATGGGGCCACAAGATCAACGACGTGAGCGTTCTGGGGCCGCGGCTGCCGCTGGTTCTAGCAGATTCCATATATATGGCGACAAGAAGGGGCTGGGGCCTCGGCTGTCGCTGATTCTAGCAGATCTCAGCGGATCTGGCGAACACCGCTTTGGCCGGCGGCACGCAAGCCTCTCAGCTGGGATCTGGCCGGGGGTGGGGGTCCTGGTGGGCGACGCGCCGTCCGCCCACCACATGCACACATTGGCGCCGGCAACCCCGCGCGCTCTCACACAACACACCTCAGCACGAAGCTTCTGAAACACGCGCTCACGATTGTGTGCGCTGCGGCACTGACGACTAACAAGCAATCACCCGTATGGCTGCCCCCAGTCCGAGCTCCAGGAACTGCTGGCCATGTCAGATGTGGACGGGGACGGCCTCATAGACTATAACGAGTTCGTGGCCGCCACCATGCACATGAGCAAGCTGAACAAGGAGGAGGTGCTGCAGCGGGTGAGGGGCCGTGTGTATTGTGTGTGTGTGTGTGTGTGTGTGTGTGTGTGTGTGTGTGCGCGCGCGTGTTGGGCTGGCTTTGAGGACCCAGGCTGCCAGGTGTTCGCAGGGCGCTCCGCAGGGCGGTGGCTGCCAGGGATTGGGACGCGTGCGGCGGGCCACGTGGGGCGCGTGGATGCGCGGAGGACACATTGGGATGCCGCTTTCTGCGCCGCGCCTTGATAGTGCGCCCGGCGCTGGCAGCCCTCACCCACAGCATGGGAGCCCCCGCCCCCCCTCTCAATAACCCGTTCAGCTGCCCTCATCCCGCCCAAGGCAGCCACCGCCCTTCCAGCCCCACAACCTTCCCGCTTTTTTTCAAATTCAAATTCAAAGGCCTTCAAGGCGCTGGACAAGGACGGCAGCGGGTCCATCTCGATTGACGAGCTGGGGGAGGCGCTGCGGGGCTTTGGCATTTTCGACGATGCGAAGGCGCTGCTGGCGGGGGCGGACACGAACAAGGTGCGCGCACGCGCGCATGCGCGTGTGTGCGTGTGTGTCTGTGTGTGTGAGAGAGCAGGTGTTCAGGCGTGCGTGCGAGAGGTCGTGCGCGTTTGGAAGCGGTGGTCAATGCGTTGCGTCAAGGTGATCGGTTCGGATGGGGTCTGTCAGAGGAAAGGTTCCTGTCCAGCAGATTGTGATTTGCAAAACCCGGGCTGCAAAAATTCTGCTTGGAAATGTCTTTCCCGCTTGCCACCACCCTGGTCTTGCTTTGGCGCGGAGGGCGCCGGGGCTGCATGCTCGCACGAGGGCTGCTGTGTGCCGAAGACCAACAGGCGATGCTGCATGCAAGCGTCTAATGCGCCAGCCAGTCAACCCCGACCACCGCACTCAGCCAGCCAAGCCGCCGTATGGGCCATGAAGGACTGAACAGCATCAAGCCACCGCCTCCCGTCCAAACCACCGTGACTCACCCAACCATTCGCCACCCTACGTTGCGGGTAACGGGCTGTGCAACCCCCACTGCTTGATGTGCCGCGCGCGTGCGCGCGCGCACACACACACACACACACACACACACACACACACACACACACAGCCACAGCCACACATACACTCACAGTCACAGTCACATGCACACGCACACGCACATTGTACCCCTGTATTCCCACACTCTCACAGCCACACACCTACACCGACACATCAACACCGAAACACAAACACCGACACACCAACACCGACTCACACCCACACCCACACCCCCGCACCCCTAGGACGGCACGATAGACTACGCCGAGTTCAGCTGCCTGCTGCGCGCCAACAACGAGGACCTCAAGCACAGCGGCCACAACCAGGCTAAGGGCTTCTTCTCGCGCTTCTTCTGAGCAGCGGCACCCAACCCCCCGCGGTCAACCCCCAAAAACAAGCACCCCGGGGTCTCCGCAGCGGGTGGCAGTCGACGGGGCGGGCTGCGAGCTCTCGTGAGGCTGCCGAGGTCCGGCGCTCTTGGGACGGGATGGTGTCATAAAGACTGCTGTTTTTGCACGGTCCTGCGGCGAGCGTGCGAGGCTGTCGGTGTTGATGCATGATCTAGGGACTGCTGACGATTCGGTGCTGATTGTCTGTGGGCCAGGGCTGAGATTTGTCCTTGTTTGCCCTCCATCTGTTCAGTTGGCTGATGAAGGGCAGCTATTGCTGCTGTGCGCCCTACTCCAAAACTACTGATGTACGCACGCAAACGAGGGGACAAATGCTGTCATGCGCACGCCCGCGGCGCTCAATGCCGCTTTGTGCTTGCTTGTGCAGGCTGTTCCACTGCTGTGCAGCAGCTTGGAACAGCGGTAAGGACGGCATGCTTGTAATGAGGGTTACCAGGAGACCAGGATGACGGTGCAAATGATCCGCTCACTGGGTAGCAGGGCTTGTACGTGCACAGCATTTAGCAGCCGCCTCTGGGCTGCGCTTGCAGGGGCTATGCGTCCGTGCTTGCTTGCACGTTGGGTGAAGGGGTCAGCACGGAGCATCGGTCCGCGCATAAGCATCCCGTACATCCGCACCCACTGCTCGCCTCCCCCCTCACGTGCATGTAGGGGTGTGTTTCAAATCATCCCGCGCAGTTCGCCTGCATCGTGCCGGCTGCCGTTGGGCCCCGCCGCCACGGCGTATGCTGGATTAAGGCAGTTTGAAGGACTGTGTCCAGCAAGCGGGCGTGGGCGCGGCGCGAGGAGCGATCGGTGTGGTCGAGTTATTCCGCTGCTCGTGCTGGTGACCCAGCAGCTGCTGCGTCCTCAGGCGACGCGGCACTGCATCCATGCAGAGGCTCGCGGCTGCAGATCGAGCTTAACAGCGCCACCTCCACGAGGAAAAGAGCCTGAGAAGCCCGCCCCGCTCCAGTTCGGACGGTCCCGTTGGCGCCAGGTCCAGCAAGGACGCTCACCCTCCCCAGCCCACCCTCGTTAACGAGGTGCGCCACAGTCACTCGATAACTGCGGGACGCATGAGACTGCGGCCTGCGGGCGGGAGCGAGTTTTTCGATGTTGATGAGTGGGACCGTTGCGCGGGGCTTGCCCGGGGCCGTCGACCGGCCCGGAAGTCTTGGAACATTTATGCGCACCTGTATATGCCGCCTCGCCTTGTCGCTGCGCTCCAGATCTCGCACGCGGCACCATGGACACTGCGAGGCTACCAAGCGGCTTTGTCGGGCACAGATCGCCATCGGATAGCCTTTCAAGGCGCTCGAGTGCAGTGCCGCTGCCTGAGCAGCGCTCGTCGTCAGTCGTGCTCCGGCAGGGCGTCGCCGGCGCCGTGGCCGCCGACGAGCCCCTCACCTTCAACAACCAGGTGAGGCGCCTGCATCACATGTTCAAATGGTTGGATTCAGGGCTTTGATCCGCTGCGGCGACACGCCGCCCATCCATGCAGGGTCCGCCGCTGGCGGGGCGTAACCAGCCCCATGCATGCATAGTCGGTTAGGCCCGCCCAGCCCTCGTCAATGCGAATTGGCGCCAATCAACGAACCGCAGGGCCCCGCCAAGCTAGTGGTGAAGCCAGACGGCAACATCCTATGGGAGATGGCCCATGAGTGAGCGGTGATGTGGCTGCCCGACCCACCTGTCGTCGGTGCAGGGGCGGGACGCTTTCGAAATGTTTGAATCAGCCTCACCAGCGTCCCGCCTGTGCACAGGGCTGTGGGCATACTTATTAGCTTGTTGGTTGTGGAAAAAGAGAGTCAAAATGGCAAGAGGCATCCAGCTCATTACTTGCTAGAAACAAAGTCCTTCGTTGCACAAATTCCTGTTGAGCTGTGAGAACTCGTTTTCATATCTGCAGTTTTCAAGGATCCATTATCATATGTATCTTTTTCCAAAACTGCTGTTTCCTTCTCGCCTAGCCCACCACCTCATGGAGGCCTGTGCGTGCCCCTTCCGCGCCCCTCCACCCGCCGCCCGCCCGCAGCGCCGAGCGCGCCAACAGCTGCGGCGGCCCCCACGGCTGGGCGCACACGGCCAAGGTGGCTGTGGAGGTGATACTCACGGGCTCCGCGCTGTTCGGCGGCCTCATGGGGGCGAGCGTCGCGACAATGGAGCTTTCACGGGGTGCGGGGGCTTTGGTGGGGGTGGGGCGGTTTTGGGGACGCGAGGGACCGTTGCATCTGTGTGTGTGTTTTGAGTTTCGAACTGGCTGGTTTTGTACCTGCTGTGTGGCGCAGCACGAGCAGCGATGCAGCCTCGGGGGGCGGTGGCGTGTCTTGAAGATTCCCACGGCAGCACGCCGCCACCCACCAAGGGCTGGATTATGAAGTGGGGGCGCTCGGCTTGCATGGGGGAAGGGGGGCGGCATGGCGTCGATGCAACGGACCGGAGAGCCCTCTGAGCCCTCTGTCGTGCGGCGCCCTCGCCCCTCGCGGGGCACGCTGGACAGACCTCCTGGCTCAAGCCGGCCTCGCCGCTCTGAGATCAAGCCTGTCTCGACTGCCTGCTCGACCGCAGCGGCTGCCGCGCATGCGGCGCCGGCCGGCAGGCTTTGGAGCGTGAACCACCACTCTGCTGCCCACCCACCCGCCCAACCAACCAACCAATCGGCGCGCCCACAGCCATGACTCATGACTACTGCCTGACCGGCCACCAGCTGACGCGCGCCATCGCCGTCACCGTCAGCAGCAGCGCTGCCGGCATGGCCGCAGGTGTGCGCGTGTGTGTGTGTGTGTGTGCTGACGTACACGTGTTTTGGTGTTCAATGTACGTTTTGGATAGTGGTCGTGTGCGTATGTACAAGTGCGTTTGTACGTGCGACTGTTTGGGAGATCAGCTGTTGATGCCTGCAGTGAGCCGTCGTCGTGGCTTTGCCGTTCTGGTGAGGGACGCCTCAGATGCTGAGGCGTCCCAGCGGAAGCCCTTGTCATCCTTTTCCTGCCCGTTCCCACTATTTCACCACCCCGGACTCCCAACCTTTCGCAGGCATTGCGTACGCGCCCCTCCTCGCGGCCCGCACCGTGCTAGGCAAGGTCGCCCGCCCCGCCGCCCTCCTTGGCGCCGCCGCCGCCGCCGCCAAGGGCGCCGCGCGCCTGCTGCAGCTGCGGGGCGTCGGGCCCGCGCTGCTGCTGAAGCGGCTCGCCTGCGGGGCCGCGGAGGTTGGGGTGGCGCTGGACACTTTGCTGAAGGTGGCTGTGCAGGCGGCGCGGTCGGAGCGGTTCAGGCGGGCTTTCATCAGGTGTGCGGGGGCTCGCAGGGGGGCAGGGCCAGCGCGGTGGGGGAACGCTCGGAGGGGGAACCTGGGGCCGCGGCAAGGCGGCCGGCGCGTCTGGGCTGCGCTATTTGACCCCTCGCATTCAAAGGGCCTGCTCCGCTGCTCTTCCCCCCGCTCTTCCCCGCACACACACGCGTGCACACACACACACACACACACACACACACACACACACACACACACACACACACACACACACACATACACACAATTAGCTGTGCAGGCCCTGCCCGGCGCGCGGCGCACATCACCTGCCTTGGAGCAACCCCTCAAACCCCACCTTCCCTCGACCCTCATTCTCAATCATGATATTCGGCTCGTCGCGCAGCTTCCGCCCCTGGAGCCCGCCTTCCTCTGACCTAGCTGACTCGTCCGCGGCGCTTCTCAACCATCTCATGCAGGATGGGCGGCGTGGATGAGATACTAAAGCTCCTACCAGGGCTGGGCCAGGAGGGAGGGGAGCTGCTGCAGGCCGCACTCAGGGCGCTGGGTGGGTGGCACGAGCGATGGCAGGCGTGGGTGCGGGCCGTGGGTGTGGGCTTAGGGTGCGGGCCGTGGGTGCGGGGCGCTTGCGACATGGAGGCTCTTGTGAGGTGGCGGAGTGTGAGAGAGTAGTGTGAGAGAGTAGTGGCGGAGAGGCTTTTACGGGGCAAACCCGGTTTCTTGGCCGCCGGGAGGGGGGTGGTGTTGGGAGGGGGCTGGTGAAGTGTGTAACTATTGGGGCAGGGTGGGGTGTGGGGGCGGTGTGCCCTGCCTAGCTTTGTGGCTTCCGACTTGCGCATCCAAAGCGCAACGAGACGGGCCCGGGGTTCGACGTATCGCGGCGGCCTCGAGAGGCTGGCTGCGGCGGGGCGACAAGGGCGGCCCCGGCGGTCCCGCGCTAGAGGGCGCCGGCCCCCTTTGGCCGGAGCTTGGGTTTGAGCGCCGCTGCAAGATTGTGCGGTCAGGCTCACCGCGCGGCTGACCGCGCGCCCTGGCTGCCCAAGCTGCTGGTGGTCGGTGTGACAGCCAGGCCGCGCAGCCCCGGCCGCCCTTCCCCCCCACGGGCACGCGCCGCGCCCCCGGCAAAGCCCGATGCCACCAGTCTCCCAACCCTGACACGCCCGCGACGCAGGGCCCCCGTTGCGTCGCGTCTCGTCACGACCCCCTCGTGCATCACTCATAACACATCAACGCGACCACCAACCC